AGTACTTCTGCTATGTGTAAGAGGTCTCCTAGTCCCTCATGGTCTCCTCCCTCTGGATTTATAAAACTGAATTTTGATGGCAGTAGTTTGGGGAATCCAGGACCCTCTGAGATTGGGGGAGTGTTCAGGAATGAGGGGGTTATTATTGCTTTGTTCTCCGGACCCATTGGGGAAGGAGACTCTCTTAGGGCTGAGATCCTTGTAGCTCTGGAAGGAATTCAAAGAGCAAGGGAACTAAATATCAGACGCTTGGTCTTGGAAGGTGACTCGAAGGTGTTAATTAGCTGGCTGAAAGATTAGTCTCTTCAGCATGTTAGAGAAGCGGCAATCAACAGAGCAGAACACAAACGTGAAACTGGGGACGGAAGTCTCGGCTCACACTCAAAAGCTCCACTCCCAATTCACTGTGATAGGCAGGATCTGTGTAAGGAAGTATTTGTCACTTCTCCGAGGCAAGACAGGGGTACATCAGTGAGGGACATACATGAGGGTGAAGGAAGGAATCACTGTATAACAAATGAGACGGGAAGGCATTCACATCAGAACCAAGCCAAGGAGTTAGGTGACTCCCACCTCCCTAAACAGGGCATGACAGATTGTGCTCCCCTTTCTAGCAATCCCCTCCCACCTCAGCATAATTCAGGTAACTGTGTCCTTTCGATTTGTGTTACTAATGATTGCTCTGTATCTGTTGTGCTAGATACCAATCCCAGTCCAGAGGTTGCAGCCCCATGTGGGAGAAGGAGAAAGAGTTAGCAGTAGAGCTAGGGAGGGCCAGGAGAGAGATGGAGGACAGTAGGAGGTAAAGAGGAACAAATTGATCTTGAAATTCTAGATGGTTTATTGGATGAATTTGAAGAGAGCATTCTACAGAAGGAAGGGGCAGATGGAGATTGGAAATGACAAAGAGGGTGGAGGAAGGGTTGGGGAAACAAGTCAGGAAGGAGGGAATAGGATGTTTGATAAAAGAGATCTGAATAGTGAGGATTCTGTGGCAGCATATGTGGGGAAACTGGGGTGCAAATTAAAAGATCCAAATGACCTCAAAGTGTTCCTACAATAAAAGAGAGAGGAAGTTAAGATAAAAAGAGGAAACTGAGTGAGGCTGAAAGACTGATGAAGGATGTGGAAGGAGACAAAAGGTTTGGTGTTAAAGGGGAAAGGAGGAAAGGGAGTAAGTAAGAACATTAAGTCGGGGATAAAAATGAGGGTAGTTAGTTGGGCTGTTAGAGGATTGGTGAGTGCAAGGAAGAGGGCAGTAATCAAAGAGGCCATCAAAAAGATAAATCCAGATGTGGTATTGTTGCAGGAGACCAAAAGAGCAGATTTTGATATTAAGTGGGCCAAAAGTGTTTGGAGGGGTAGGGGGATCAGTTGCGCTACTTTGCCTTCTTGGGGGTCTTTAAGGGGCATTTTAAAAATGTGGAAGAATGATTTGCTCATAGGGATGGAGGAGTTAATAGGACAATTTTCCATTTCCTTGAAGTTTAGGCAGGTGGAGGATGGATTTGACTGGGTGATAATCAATGTCTATGGACCTAATGACTATAGAGAGAGAAGGGGATTATGGGAGGAATTGGTGGATGTTGGGGAGGACCTTTGTTCTTAGGACTTTGGTGTAATTTGATTTTTGGAAGAATTAGATAGTCCTGGGCAGAGGGTGAATACAAGCATGAGGAAATTTAATCAATTTATGGATGCGTTTGAGCTTAAAGAGATCCCATTGTCACATGCTTGCTTCACTTGGTCCAATCTCCAATTGAACCCTATTTTCTCTAAGTTGGATAGTTTTTTATTTTCAAATGATTGGGAAGAAGATTAGGGGAATCTAACTTCAAGAGCATTTCCAAGAGTAACTTCTGACCATTGGCCTATTGTGATTTGTAAGGAAAAGCTGGGAAATGTAGGACCTGCCCCATTTAGATTTGAAAACACGTGGTTAGGACATCAAGGATTTATTGAGAAAGTTAAAGAATGGTGGCTAGAGAGTAACTCTGTAGTTGAATGGTGTGGAATGAGGTTCCATAAGAAGCTCCAATTTTTGAAAGATAGAATGAAGGAATGAAACCTCCTAGAGTTTGGGAGGCTGGAGGAGAGGAAACAATTTGTGACAAAAGAGGATAAAGAACAAAGATGGAGATTGCGGAAACAGTTAGAGGATTATCTGCTCAAGGAGGAAATAAGTTGGTGGCAAAAATCAAGATGTAGGTGGTTGAAGTAGGGGGATAGAAATACCAATTTTTTTTTCATGTTGTGGCAAATGGGAGAAGGAGAGAAAATTTCATCTCAAGTCTAGAAATTGAAGGGACAACAATATCCAATCAAAGAGAGATTGCTGGGGCTTTTGCGGATCATTTTAGGTTTATATTTAGAAGACCCCTAAACAATAGGGTGTGGCACAATCCTCTAAGGAAAAAGACAGGTTGGTTGTGGAATGGAAATCTCCACCAAGCAATATGTTAAAGCTGAATTTTGATGGGAATTATATGGGCATTCCAAGGCTGACAGGTATTGGGGGTGTTCAGAGATTCCTCAGGAACGGTGGTGGCCATGTACTCAGGACCTATTGGAGTGAGAGATTCTCTGAAAGCTGAATTGATAGCCTTCAGAGCTGATCATCACTTGGGCAAAGCAATCTGGCTTTCACTACTTGGAAAGTAGAGGGGGATTCAAAGCTGATCATCACTTGGGCAAAAGGCCCATGCCAAGTCCCTTGGATTTACAGGCATGTCTTTAGGGAGATAGGTTCTCTCAAGGGAGTTAAACACCTCCTATATTTAGGTTAGAAGAACTGCAAATGGGATGGCGGATTCATTAGAAAAACAAGGGGTCAATAGACATCAGCTGTTTTGGGTACTAGTGTGAAATATCTCAACCTCATTTACTAAACATCTTTCATATAATTCATAAAATCATCTTTAGTGTATATATATATATATATATATATATATAAGCTGACCTGGATTGGCTTGATAGTTGAACTGGTCGGCTGGCAAGCAGTGCCTGCAGTGCAGTTTGCTTTTGATAAGTACAGTTTAAGGTCAAGCTACAAGACTCATCAAGGTGAGTGGGAATGGCATGTGGAGCTGGATGTTTTCAATAAGGATACCATTTTGTTGGCATGGTTTGGGATAAAAGGGCAGATGGAATGCTGGAAACTTGATAAAATGTTTTTTTTTTTTTTTTTTTTTTTATTGGTAAGTAAAATGCTTATTGATTATTATAAAGCAAGTATGTACAAAAGTTTTGCTTCTCAAGATATAGGTTGGATATACACCACCTATCTCCTTTCTTAAACATTACAAAACATTACATTTGAGCCCAAAAAATTTTCTGCCTATTTGTTTTAGCCTCTAGTTTTGCCAATGCATCTGCCATTCCCCTTTCCATTGAACCAACTGAAATAAAGCTTCCGTGCCTCTCATCAGCCATCTGATCTCTTTAATAACTTGCCTGTATTGTCTCATCACCTGACTATTGCTGTTAAGCCAGCTGAACACCACTTTACAATCCTTTTCTACTTCATTGATATTTTTTAAATGTGTAAGCTTCATCCCTTGTGGAACAACCAATAATTCTGCTTTTAAGGAGTTCCCAACTCCATTTGGTGCTGACAATAAAACTAGTATTCTGCCATTATCATCCCTAAATGCCTGCCTACCCCAGAAGGACAAGGATTACTAATGCTACTTCCATCAAAGTTGAGTTTTATGTAGTCACCACTTGGTGTGTGCCACTTCATTTGGCATACCCTTCTTTTGGTAGACAAGCTTGCTATCACATTGACTCTCTTAAGATATCATCCATTGAGAAGGATTGCAGATATCCATGGTTCTTTCTGGTGGAGGAAGTGAAACAACATCTTTCTGAACCATATAAAGATCATTGCCAAGCATAAAGAGAAGTTTGCAGCATATAGAGGTCATGGTTTTCAAAGCAGGAACTTCCTACATGGAAGTTGTTGCTGCCAAAATCTGCAACAAGGATAAAAATTGAAAATTCGCTAAAGACCTCAGTTGCTGGGGTGTCACCTGTAGTCGTAGAGGAACAAACATCAGAGGGCCCTAGGGTGATATCCCGTTGCATGGACTCCGATGGTCAAGTCTGTAAAGTAGAAAGGAGTGAGGATGAGCTGAAGAACTTGGTGAATGCTGTATGAGGTGAGATGTGCCAAGGTGATTGTAGAGCGAGTAGTGGGAGTGTCTTGAGTATGGGAATGAATGGGGACTCACCTATTTATAGGAGGAGATCCTCGTCCTGGGATGAAAACAGTACTCACACGTGGTCAGAGCCCCATTCCACCTGTCATGCCCATGGTTGACATGTTATATGCATGTGGTCAGCAGTGGGCCTGCATTGAATGCACTAGTGTTTATGCTCTAATCAACTCTGCCATGTGTAGCATCCAACGGTCTCGATTCTGCATATGGTGTCTAGCATGCTTCCACATGGATGTCCATGCTTCCTCGGTTGATTAGACACACGTGTTATGAGCTTGTAGGCACGTATTAGGTTAGCTATTATTAGCTCGGTCTAGCTATGTTATCTGGTATCAAGTTGGCTTGGCTGGACCACTTTGCCCCCAGCTTGTTGCCACATGGCGATTTCCGACTGGTGGTTTTGGCCATATCAGAAGTCATCTAACCAATGGCAATTGTTCTCTGTATCACTTCTCTCTGGGCCTTCAATGTTGTTTCGATTTTTGTTCTTTTCTTGTATGTTGCTCTCGGTCTTATCTCTCCTTCCTTTTAGAATGAGTTGATAATTTTAGTTTCCTTTAATTTTTTCTTAATATAGTTTTCTTTCTTATCATAAAACCAAAAAGAACAAAAATAAGAAGGTTTTGTTGCATGCTCATTTGTTGGTCATTGATTTGTTCTATTGAAGAATGCTCATAGTTTGCTTCCTATATCTGTCCTTTTAAATTTCTGATACAGATATAAGGATTTTTCTAGCAGTTCCTGTTTTCTTGCATTCCTTATTAGATTCCTATTTTTCAGGTAAGACATCGTTTGAAGAAAGATTATGGTATTGAAGGTGGAATACCTGTAGTATTTTCAATGGAGAAACCAAAAGTAAAGCTGCTTCCATTCAAGGGTCCAGGTGGACAAGAAGAAAATCCTTCTGATTATCAGGTTAGGATGGTTGTATTTCTTTAGAATTGCTAACTACTTCCCTTTGATCATATATATATTAATATCACCAAGCAGTTGGAGTGCCCGAAGTTTTGTGCAAGGAAAGGAAATTCCTATTGTTTCTTGGCTGTTTCAACTCAACTCAGTCCTATATTTTCTTTTGAAAATATAATCAAAGGAACTTCCTTTCGATCATATGTATTAATATCACCAAGCAGGTTAAGATGATTGTATTTCTTTAGGATAAAAGTTTTAATGTCACTGCCAGCTTGATGCATTTCTTCTTTATTCAGGCTTGGGACCAGGGGTGTAATCCTTCTTTATTCAGTTTATTGCTTGGCTGTTTCTTGAATATAACATTGTGTTGTTTTCAGAATATTTTCTTGCTAATCTAAAGTTACTTTTAGAAATTATGTTGATATATCAGTTCAGGTTAGAAGGGGTAAATGTTCACATTCTAATTTGGAAATCCTGTTATCAGATTATACCCGGTTTCAGGGTCCGTATCATACCTGTGCTGGGGAGTATCCCTGCAATTTTTGGACAGGTGATGGCTTCCTATGTTGTGACTCAGCTTGCAGGATTTCAAGTAGAAACAGAGCCAGTGGTAAATTTGGATACAGATCATTATCGAATTCTTCATCAACGTCTTATTGAGCACGAGGAGTTACTGTATGGCACGACCATGCAGGTTCAGGTACTGAAGTCTGTTGTTCCGTATTTACATTTACACAGTTACTTCTGGATGCATTAAACAATCTTTAATCATGAAAGGCCTCTAGTATTTGAAGTCCGACAAGCAGCAGAATTGAGAAAGAAATGAAACCTGAGGTCTAACTAAATGAGCAACCTATTCTGTTTCATTAGTTTTAATCTATTGGTTGATATGTGAAATAATGAATCATTGGCCTTCTATCCTTGGGATAAGAATATCCTCTCCTACTAGCATATTATTTCATAACTTATAAAGAAGCATTTATTTTTACTCCATTCTGAAATTCAACTGTCCAACCTTAAATGGTTAGGACTAAGGCCAAGTTGAGTTTAATCTGAAATTCAAACAACTATGTTCTAGTGCGCTACTTTTCCTGTCCCGGAATTACCAGATAAGAGCCTAAGCCTGAATCTTTCAATCATGTCTGAGATCCATGCATTACTAAGAAGCTTAGGGTACGGCCAATATTTTAAAACACGGAGGCGTGATGCGAGGTGTTCTACTACCTAGAGGCGTGAGGTGTAGTTCAGAATGTAAGAGGCGTAAGCCTCCTGAACACAAGTAGGCGTAAGCCTACTTAAGGGAATAAGGAGGAGGGAGAAGGAGGATCTCATTTTTCTTTATTTTTAATAAAAATCTTTTACATTAAGAAGAATGAAGATGCATAGCATTAGTTAAAAGGGGGGTATTGTTGAAGTGGAGGTGAGCACGAGCGAGGAGCAAGACCCCCCTAACAAAAAAAAACCAAATTGGGCTGCATCAAAAAGGGGTTCTGGGGGGCGAACAGCCAAAGGGATCCATGGGCTTAGCCCCTGGTCCACTTTCTTTCCCCTTATCTTTTCTTTCCTTCCCTTTCCTTTTATTTTTCTTTCCCTTCCCTTTCTTCTCTTTTCCTTTCCTTTTTTTTTCTTTTTTCTTTTTTCTTTTTTTTTTTCTATCTTTTTACATAAGGTGTGCATGAGGCATACACTTCAGAGGTGTGGGCGCCTCTGGCAAACACCTCAGGGCATTTTAGGGGCATCTCGCCTGGAGGCGTACACCTCCCACACCTTTTAAAACACTGGTATAGATCACCAATCCCAATTTAGAGAACATTTGCTTGAGATGGGTGTAGATCTGAAAGGGTTATGGTAATTGAAGAAAAGTAGTTAGATTAGCTTCAAATATTATATTACTGATGTTTTCTTTTTGGTTTATGCTGAGTTAGAGTTTATATTGTTGTATCTTTGGTCCTCTTGTACAGATCCTCTTTGTATGCACTGTGGTATACATGTTTTAATCACTTTTTAGCAGTATAAATCAGTGCTTTACCTTTCTCACAAAGTTACAAGGTGGGAACCTTATTGGAAGATCACTGCTATTGTTACATTGTATATGTGTTGGTAAATTTATCATGTATTTTATAGATATTGTTGCTTATGTTTTATTTTAGCTGTTTACTCTTGAAGAAGAAAGAAAGAAAGAGAGATAAATCATAAATGAAGGGTAAAAGAGGAGGACCTCTTTGTGTACTCTCTGGTGCACTGTTTTGGGCAGTGAAGGAACATCTCCAAAAAAAAAGTGTGGCGAAAAAGTGCAAATGCTGCAATGGATGAGAAGGAGAACTAGAAAGGACAAGGTCAGAAATGAAGTCATTCGAAGGAACCTAGGAGTATCTCCAATAGGTGTAATAATTGAATGTATCACAGCCAAGTGGTGCATTGGATCAAATCATTGGCTGTATTTTGACCTATTTTTGCTGTTGATATTTTTGAAAGGGGGGGGGGGGTGGTGCAACCTCATCTAAAAAGATTGTTGTTCAAAGGAATTAGGGACCACCTGAGGATGACTTTATTAAGTCCAATTGAAATAGGGACTTTACAAGGGCTGAACTCCTTGCTGTTCTCCATGGTATATCTAGAACTGAAAAGGATTAAGAAAATTAGAAGAGAGTAGACAAATTTCGAGGCACAGAAACTAGGATTGTGGAACCTATATGAAATTTTAAATTTGAATTTGAATTAATTAATTTCATTTTTAGTTTAGAATTTGAATGAATTTCATTTTTTTAATTTAATTCATTTTTATTGAATTTGAATGATAAGATCTATTATTTATATTAGGATAACAAGGAGCTTTACATAATGCAAGGTAAAAGGACTAAAATGCCCTTGTGGCACAAAGTACACAATTACAACACTCCCCCTTAAGGTGGGTCATAGATGTCAATCATATCCAACTTGTGCTGCAAAAACATTCAGACCTTTTGCGGGTATTTCAGCAAGTTGTTCTTTAGAGCTTATATAGGGTGTGAAGACTTCTCCTTTCTCAGGTTTTTCTCTAACAAAATGCTTATCAACTTCTGTGTTTGGTCTGGTCATGGAGAACATGATTTGCAGCTATGTTGGTGGATGTTTTATTATCACAATAGAGTGACATAAAGTGCCCCATAATGAATCCAAGTTCCCCAATAGGTTCTTTATCCATAATACTTTGGCAACACCAAAGTATTAGTACTAGATCTCATCTAGCAAAAACTCTTTGGTTCTTACTCCAAGTGACTAGGCTACCTTCTATAAAAGTATAATAATAACCGGTGGGCCTCGTGTCATCAATGGATCCTGCCCTATCTGCATCAGTATAAACTTACACTCTGTTATGGTCATGTTTTTTAGACAATATACCCCATCCAAGGTGCTTCTTCAGATGCTTATTAGTACTCTTTCTGCAGCTTCAAGATGGAAGGTTCTAGGTGCATGAATATGTTGACCAATGACCTCCACAACATAAGAAATGTATAGTCTAGTCATAGAGAGCTATAGAAGTCTTCCAACCATTCTCTAGAACTGCTTGATGTCTAACAAAACTTCATCATTATGTAGTTTATGATTCACCTCAGTAGGAGTGTCAGTTGGCTTTGCTCCCAGATGTGATTTAGTCCAATTAAAACTGTAAAATAATTTCAGATTATAGCAAAGAAAGAAAAAGGAAGAAGAAGACAACAAGAAAGAAGAAGAAGAAGATGGAGAAGAAGGGAATGGAGAAGAGAGTTAGATGGTCACCTCTTCTTCCTCTTTTATCTTTTATTAGTCTTACTAAAATTGAACAAATTACAAGTCTGCCCTTAAGTGGGAAGCCATGGCACGATGTTCCTTGCCACCATAGCATAGTAACTGGAAGTGAATCTCCTATCATCAATACACCTATATCAGTCAGCATCAGTGTATGCTTCCAACTTCATGTGTCCATGCTTAGCAAGCAAGATACACTTCCCTGGAGTCCTTTTCAGGTAACACAGAACCTTCTTTGTAGCTGCTAAATGTCTCTATCTGGGAGAATGCATGAACTGACTAAAGACACTCACTACATAGGAAACATTTGGCCAAGTCATGCAAAGATATAACACTTTCCCAAGTAGTCTCTGGAACACCCCCTTATTTGTCAATAGTTCACCATCAGTAGCTGAGAGCTTGTGATGTAGGTCTATAGGAGTGGAAGCTGGTTTAGCACCCACTCCTACAAGTATATCAATGACATACTTGCATTGAGAAATGAAGATATCATTCTTAGACCAAGCAACTTTAATTCCCAAGAAATATCTGAGTTCACCCAACTCTTTGATCTCAAACTCAGTGTTAAGAAACTTTTTGAGATTAACCACTTCCTGAGTGTGATCACCAATAACCATAATGTCATCAACATAAACAATTAGAAGGGTCACCAAGGAATCTCTCCTCTTAACAAATAGGGTATGATCAAGGTTCAAAGTATCAGAAAGGCAATTTTAAGATACGTATCGAGATATGCCTTGGATACACATGCGTGTTGGAGAAAAATTAAGATATGCATGGAAACACACAGAAACACTATCAGAACTTCAATATAACATAAAAATACACCAATAACACTAAATATCAGGCTTTAATAAGATAATATACATTAAATTAATATATTTTAATAGAATTTATGAGGAACCGTATCATAGTCAATATACAGGAACATAAAATTATACAATCATATCACAGAATATATTAGTTTCTTTTATATATAATTTTATATCTAGTTTTCAGTCCTTATGGGCATATCAAAAAAATGTAATTAATTATTACTTATTTTTTAATTTCAAAAATTATAAATAATAAAAAAATCATATTTAGAGAATAAATATCAAATGATATATGGATATGATAGATCAACCATGTATTAACAATATATTGAGTTCTTAGGGATATATCATAAAAAATGTATTTGATTATTATTTATTTTTAATTCCGAAAATTACAAAAAAAATAAAAAACATATTTGAATAATAAATGCCAAATGATCTATGGATATGATAGATCAACCATATATTAACACTATATTCAGTCCTTATGGGCAAATCACAATAAAAAATAAATAATTCATATTTGTTTTTAATTCTGAAAATTACAAAAAAAAATCATACTTGAAGAATAAATATCAAATGATCTATGGGTATGATAGATCAGCAATATATTAACTCTATATTCAGTCCTTATGGACAAATCACAAAAGAAAATAAATAATTAATATATTTTTTTAATTTCGAAAATTACAATATATATATATATATATATATCACACAGAAAGTTTCAAATCTTACATGGATATGGTAGATCATCCATAGATTTCTAACAGTCCGTTCATGCTAAAAAGAACAATTTTCAATATTTTTTTTTTATTTTTTATTTTTTCCAATTTTCCTCATAAAAATTCATAGATCTACACTTATAATAAAAAAGTGTGATTTTTGACATGGGAAATGTAGATCATCCAAGAATAGAACACTTCCAAGCATTCAAACAAGAAAGAAACAATAAATCAAAAGGATTAAATGAAAAAAAAAACGTTGAATAACTCACCTATTTTCGCAATAATTTCCAAATCTTCAACTTTGATGTGTTTTTTTTTGGTAGATCCAATAACCTAGGTAAGTTTTCAAAGTTTTGGAGTGGTTTAGGGGGGGGGGGAGGAAAAAAGCC